TGCACTTAAAGTAGCAGACATAGCCCCTCTACACAAGGGAGGGAGCAAAGCATTGGCAAAAAATTATAGACCAGTTGCACTAACATCGCACATCATAAAAGTATTTGAGAGAGTGATTAGGAGTCAGGTCACCAATTTCATGGAGACCAATGACCGTCACAACCCAGGCCAACATGGATTTCGAGCGGGAAGATCGTGCCTCTCACAGCTACTTGAGCACTATGACAAAGTCACTGAGGCATTAGAAGAGAAACAGAATGCTGATGTGATATACACGGACTTCGCAAAGGCTTGCGATAAATGTGACCATGGCGTGATAGCACACAAAATGAAGTCAATGGGAATAACCGGTAAAGTAGGACGCTGGATACTCAGTTTTCTGTCAAACAGGACTCAGCGAGTAACTGTCAACCATATAAAATCTAGTCCAGGTGCAGTGAAAAGCTCTGCACCTCAGGGTACAGTCCTTGCACCGCTGCTTTTCCTTATTCTCATATCAGATATAGACTAAAATACAAGTCACAGCTTCGTATCATCCTTTGCAGATGACACAAAAATCAGTATGAAAATTACCTCGGCTGAGGACATTGAAAAACTTCAAGCTGATATTAATAAAGTTTTCGACTGGGCATCAGAAAATAACATGATGTTTAACAGTGATAAATTCCAGGTACTCAGGTACGGTAAAAATGAGGACCTTAAACATAATACAGAGTACAAAACACAATCAAATGTACCCATAGTAGGAAAACAGCATATAAAGGATTTGGGAATAATAATGTCTGACGACCTAACGTTTAAGGAGCATAACCAAGCAAATATTGCGACAGCCAGAAATATGATAGGATGGATTACGAGAACTTTCAAATCCAGGGATCCCATCACAATGGTTGTACTCTTCAAGTCACTTGTGATGTCCCGTCTTGAGTACTGTTCAGTACTCACTTCCCCCTTCAGAGAAGGAGAGATTGCTGAAATAGAGGGAATACAGAGAACATATACGGCACGCATAGACGCAATAAAGCAGCTAAATTATTGAGATCGTCTCAAAGCCCTCCAAATGTACTCACTAGAAAGAAGACGAGAGAGATATCAAATAATATACACCTGGAAGATACTGGAGGGCCAAGTACCAAATCTACACAGTAAAATAACAACGTACTGGAGTAAACGAAATGGAAGAAAATGTAGAATAGAACCAGTGAAGAGCAGAGGTGCCATAGGCACAATCAGAGAACACTGTATAAACATCAGAGGTCCGCGGTTGTTCAACGTCCTCCCAGCAAGCATAAGAAATATTGCCGGAACAACCGTGGACATTTTCAAGAGGAAACTAGATTTATTCCTCCAAGGAGTGCCGGACCAACCGGGCTGTGGTGGGTATGTTGGCCTGCGGGCCGCTCCAAGCAACAGCCTGGTGGACCAAACTCTCACAAGTCAAGCCTGGCCTTGGGCCGGGCTTGGGGAGTAGAAGAACCCAGAGTCCCCATCCCAGAATCCCCAGAACCCCATCAACCAGGTATCAACCAGGTATCAACCACTCAACACGGCTCGGTTCGCACCCTCGACCCACCGGTGAAGTGAAGTGTTCGTACCCAGGTGACGCACACAACGATAGCGTCTCACACAAACATGGGAAATCTGCCTGACACGAATTTCCCTATTCCCATCGACTGATACAGAGCACTAGCAAGTCTAATCACCACTGGTATTGGATCTACGAGTCCGTTACTGCTCGTATGCACATTACCCCACGATCCCAGATCACTGTACCTCTACCCACTGTACACAATGTCTTTCTCCCCTCCAAGCGACGACTTCGGCTGGATAAGGTGATGACCGCTGTCGTAGGTGAGGCAGGAAGTGAAGCAGTTGAGTAGTCCAGCCACTACGACGCCCTATACTTCAATTTGGCCGAATTGAGTACAGGGAAGCGTCTTGACAGAGTGGCAGCTGGGTTCAGAATGATGCTTACACCGACGATTCCCGCGTCCTCCTCGAAATAACCAATGAGAGGAAGGCATACAGCGGCCTACCCCTCTCATCCAATCAGCGACGGTGTAGTACAGCCCCTAGGGCAACTCCAAGATGGCCGACCAACATGGTGGCTGAAGATGTTTACTAAGATGGCGGCTGTTTCCATGACGACGACTCGAGCGTGGGAGGCCCACAGCTCACCCACGCCTGGGCCTAGCTGTTCCCGCGCAAAGTGGAGTCTCGCTTCATGCCATACAATAAGATGATGCTATCGGCTCTAGCACTGTCCACAGACATGCTACCCTGGCCAGGGTAACATTTGTGGACTGCTGATGACTGGGGCTCTCACATGAGCCCAAACACTAGATGTTTCGGTTGCTGGTTACCAAACTTAAGTCCGCCCACTTAACAAGTGCACTTAGCAAGTGTACTGGCTCCCACAGGCATAAGAGCACTATTGTAAGTGAGCTGGTGAACCATCTCCTCACATTAGGCACTGGGCATAAGGGCAGTGGGGTAAGGTGCTGGGCATAAGGGCGGTAATGTAAGGTGCTGGGCATGAGGGCCATAGGTGAGGCACTGGGCATGATGGCCATGGGTTAGGCACTGAGCATAAGGACGGTGGGTAAGGTGCTGAGCATGGGCATAAGTTCAGTGGGTAAGGTGCTGGGCATGAGGGCCATGGGTGAGGCACTGGGCATAAGGCCGCTGGGTAAGGTGCTGGGCATAAGGGCCATGGGTGAGGCACTGGGCATGAGGCCTAGGGGTTAGGCACTATGGGCATAAGGGCGGTGAGTAAGGTGCTGGGCATCAGGGCCATGGGTGAGGCACTGGGCATAAGGGCCATGGGTGAGGCACTGGGCATAAGGACCATAAGTGAGGCACTGGGAATAATTGCCATGGGTGAGGCACTGGGCATAAGGGCCATGGGTGAGGCACTGGGCATAAGGGCGGTGGGTAAGGTGCTCGGCATAAGTTCAGTGGGTAAGGTGTTCGGCATAAGTTCAGTGGGTAAGGTGCTGGGCATGAGGCCGGTCAGTGAGGCACGGAGCATGAGGTCGGTCGGTGAGGCACGGGGCGTGAGGGTCATGGGTGAGGCACTGGACATAAAGGCGGTGGGTAAGGTGCTGGGCATGAGGCAGGTGAGGCACGGGGCATGAGGGCCATGGGTGAGGCACGGGGCATGAGGGTGGTGGCCGAGGCGCAGGGGATAAGTGCCGAGGGTGACGCACTTGTCATTATGGCTGTGACTGAGGTTCTGGGCATGAGGGCCGTGGGTGAGGCGCTAGGCATGAGGGTGGTGGGTTGGGGAGGCACTGGGCATAAGGGCCGTGGGTGAGGTGGTAAGCACGAGTGCAGTGGGTGAGGTGAGGAGCTGGTCATAAGGGCCGTGGGTGAGGTATTGGCCATGAGGACGGTGGGTGAGGCGCTGGGCATAAGAGCCGTGGGTGAGGTGTTGCCCATGAGAACGGTGGGTGAGGCGCTGGGCATGAGGACAGTGGGTGAGGTGTTGGCCATGAGGATGGTGGGTGAGGCGCTGGGCATGAGGACAGTGGGTGAGGTGTTGGCCATGAGAACGGTGGGTGAGGCGCTGGGCATAAGGGCCGTGGGTGAGGTGTTGGCCATGAGGATGGTGGGTGAGGCGCTGGGCATAAGGACAGTGGGTGAGGTTTTGGCCATGCGGACGGTGGGTGAGGCACTGGGCATAAGTGCCGTGGGTGAGGCGCTGGGCATGAGGACGGTGGGTAAGGCGCTGGCCATGAGGATGGTGGGTGAGGTGTTGGCCATGAGAACGGTGGGTGAAGTGTTGGCCATGAGGACGGTGGGCGAGGCGCTGGGCATGAGGACAGTGGGTGAGGTGCTGGGCATGAGGACGGAGGGTAAGGCGTATTAAGGAAAATGGTGACTAGAACCAGGCGCAGGGTCTGTGCAACATTGCATGCAGCTGGTACCAGCAAGTGAACATGTTGCATATGTGGTGCACGGCTCTTGCCACCACCCTATGTAAATTAATGAATTTTGCATGATAATAAAGATGCAAATGAAGATGGGGTGTAAAGGGGTAATGTTGCAAATCATTGAAAACTAAGTTTTAGAAAAAAAAATATTTTTTTAATAAAAAAAAAATATCAAAATTATTGTTTAGTATTATGTGTGTCGGGTAGGCTGTTACATTTTCAATGTTTGAGAGTTAACCTAAAATATTTCATCCTATTTTAAGACGTGGAATAGCCATCCGTGTGACGGCACTTTTAATGATCTGCTGTGGTGTATCGGCTAGCATACCAGCTTGCTACTTGGCTAGCCCAGGTTCAGTTCTTTCATAGGGGAAGAGTTCAGTGTGTGTTGATTGAATGATTGAAAAAGATTAAGCAACCCAAGAGGTGGCACGGGAATGAATAGCCCGTATGTGGTACATTTTTTGTACAGTAAATATTTTCCGTGTTCTGAGGTCGCATTTAATCATTAGGCTACTATGTTATCTCACATGTTGTGTGTTTATGTTAAATATCCTTGTGAGTGTATGCAATACTGTGAATATATATGGGCTTGAGTTTTCCCCTAGTAAATATAAATAAAAGTGGGAGGACATGTGTCTGATCTGTCACCATCAGCTGGCTTCGTTTGGGGCTTGGAAGACGTGGAACGCCCGTCAGCGCCTGTCAGACGCCCATCTGACAGGCCTTTAAACTATATGCTGTTGTTTATCGGTTAGCATCCTTGCTTGCTATTTAGCTAACCTAGGTTCTGTTCTTTCATAGGGGAAGAGTTCTGTGTGTTAAATAATACTTTTGAGTGTATGCAAGAGAGTGATTTTATATGGGCTTGAGTTTTCCCATAGTAAATATGATTAAATTGGGAGAACATGTGTCTGATCTGTCACCATCAGTTGGCGTCGTTGGGGGGCGTGGAAGACTTGGAATAGCAGCCAATGTAACACCTCTTTTAACTATATGCTGTGGTGTATCATTTAGCATACCGGCTTGCTACTTGGCTAGTCTAGGCTCAGTTCTTTCATAATG